TTTCTTTAAATGTTTATTTGAATCTATTTTGGCACGCAGCGGTACAAAACAGATTCGTAACCAAATGCAGGTCTAGTGCACTCTCCAGCGACTGCATTTCCCTAAATGGTATGTTGCTTTTTGTTTAGTTCCTTGATTTAGGAAGTCCTGTGGCAAGTGACAGTCCTGCCTTTTCGATTTATGTTTAAATCCGGGCGTTTTTTCTCTGATCTTGGGCTGTAAGCGAGAGGCAGAAATGGGTAGGGATTTATCAAGGTAAGGAAGCAAAAGTACCAAACAGCGTGGGACTTGGTTCGCGACCCACAGCAGGAGTCAAACATGACAGTTCTGTCTGAGAGTAGTGAGAGTCAGGATGATTTAATTTTTCCCCAGGTGCCCTATGCAGCTTTCATGGACAGAGAGGCTTTCGAGTTAACTTTCTTCGTGCAACTCTTGACATTTTACAGGCACCTGATCCGGGGAACAATGAGGAAGGATTCCTAGAAATGTATTTCTGGGTGTTTTTGTCTTTGTGCAAGCGGCATAGAGTGTCCTCACCCAGCTTCTGCAGCACAGCCTATACCACACACCTAGGGCTGTGGCTCCTAAGCCACAGCTTGTTCAGCATATTACAAGCTTAATTATGTACTGCATTGAAACACAAGAGTGTTTGTATATGAAAACATTTCTAAGTACAGAAAACCTCCATCAAAAATAATAATAAAATAATAATAATCCACAATAGTTTTCTTTCTAAGGCTATGAAGGGACTAGTGTGCTCCCAGGAGGATTCAGCTTCACAATGCCACAAAGCAAGGTGTTATTTGCCTGGTTTTTGGCAGTTTGGGGCTGAGGGGTAGAGTCAGGCAGGCAGGGTACTGGATAGATCATGGCCCTTTTTCTTTAACAGTGGACCCACAGTCCCAGAGGGTTTTCTTCTCTCCATGATGAAGCAAACCATCCCCCAATAGCATCTAGGTGAAATATTTTACAGAAATCTACCTGGAAGGTGGGTGGTTGGGTCTCAGTGGATAGACTGGCTATGAACTTCCTGGTTCCAATCTTTCTTAATCTCCTTAAAGAAGTTCCTGGTGTATGGATGGTTAGGATCTTTTCTACTGATGAAAAAAAGAGAGAAAATAGAAAAACATATTATGCATTCCATGTCAGTCTTATCTTTAAGGAGACAGAGGACCTGGTGATGACCCCTCTGTCCTTATAATTTGTAGCCTATATATGTTGGGTGTGCTGTGTGCACAGGGGACACAAGTGATGCTGTAGCAGTGTGAGGACCACAGGGTTTGAGACTTTCTGTATTTGCTCAAGGCTCCATGTCAGGGTCTCTTAACCACACAAGGTTGCCATGCTGGAACTTGTAGGCAGGTACCAGGCAAACATTCAGCCTCGCAAACTGTCTGATGAATAGTCCCTGTGACTGTCGCAGGACACGCATGGATATAGGGATGGAATGTTTAGGTATTTCTGTCTTAGGAACTTCTTCATATGGCATGCATCTCTCTCTTAGGAGAGCAAAAGGCACAAAATTGGTCCAATATTCACCAGTCTAAAGGATACGCGTAGAAAAAGTTTGCTTTCTATTTATCCTTCCTGTCTTCCCTGAACTTTGTGTCCTATATGTAGTTTCCAATCAACATTGAGGACCTTAGCCAGATATATGAAAATGTTGGCAAGGACGACCAGGCCGTTGTTTGATCCCAGGCAAAGGAGAGACCTCAATCTGGGAATAATATCTGGACCTGAGTCATTCAGCAGTTATAGATGCCCGCAGATCGGTAGCCGGGTAGAGTCTGGTGATCATCTGTCCTCTGATAAAGGCAGGGAGTACAGCTCCCTCATTCAGGAAGAAACACCATCCATTTGTCTCCCGTTGAGTATGTTTTCTTTCTGTCCACTTGATCTCTTTGCATATAGATTGGTCTCTAGTGAAGTTAAGGTTCAGGCAGAGTAACCAAGATCTAGAGAGGCCTCTCTGCTTCTAGAGCCACTGTCAGGGCAGCCATATTTGCTGCTTTGTTCCCTGGACCTTTGCAGATTCCCTCTGGAGGCCTCTTACACTTCACAATGGCTACCTCTCTTGGCAAACATATGACATCTAACACCGCCAGGATATTTTTGTTGTTGTTTTTATTTATTTATTCTCAGTGTGAGGTGAAGTCCCCCTCACTCTATAGATGGTCCCATGGACATGGGCTATGACAAATGAATAGCAGTAATCTGTGTCCACAGGGGCGGCTTTGTCCTTCTCACAGTGAAGAGCCAGAAGCACAGCCCCTTATGCAGAAGCCCCTCAGGTGAGGGACTGGACCCACACCTTTCTGGCAAAGGTAAAGTCTGATGTCCCAACATGGCTGTTCTGACCTTGAACAAAACTTCTCCCATTCAGTATCTCCTAGGTCTGGTGTTGGACTTCACTGACCACTTCCAGAAGTGCAGATGCCAAGGAGCCCAGGTTGGAGGTCAGAGACTCCTCATCCTGTTGTAAACGGGGTACTCTCGCCACAGACAAGGGGGCCAGGATGAGCACTTTAGAAACTTAAAGTGTTTATTGAGCCACACAGATTTGGCCAGGGCCACACACTCTTAGGAATATAAGTCTAGAATCAGCAACAAAGTGAGTGAGCAGAGACTTTATAAAGACAAAAACCACATGTTTGGCACGTGCCACTAGTCCCAAACACTTAGCAAGTCCCAAACCTTTGTATCTCATCGCACTTCCACACAGTTGGGACAGCCATTCTGAAGTCATGGAGCCTTGGTTATGGTTTTAGAATTTCACTGTCAATTCCATGTTTATGAACTTAACGCAACATAAGAAAAACCTACGGCAGAGCTGACACTAGTTAAACCATTTTCTTCATAACATTTTTCATGACTCACAGGCCCTTTGCCTGCATCCTGTCCCTCCTTGTCACCATATGTCACTGTATTTGTCAGGGTTCTCTAGAGCAACAGAACTTACAGAATGAATCTTCTCTGTCTATAGAAAGGGTATTTATTAGAATGACTTAGGGGCTGTTATCCAGCTAGTCCAGCAATGACTGCCTATGAACACAAATTCCAAGAATCCAGAAGTTGCTCAATCTATGAGACTGGATGTCTCAGATGGTCTTCTGTAGATGCTGGAATCCCGAAGAAGTAGGCTCTAATGCAGTGGTTCTCAACCTTCCTAAGGCTGTGAACCTTTCATACAGTTTCTCATATTGTGTTGACCCCAAATCCTAAAATTATTTACATTGCGAATTCATAACTGTAATTTGGCTAGTGTTATGAATCATAATGTAAATATCCGATAAGCAGGATATCTGCTATGTGACCCCCAAAGGAGTAGAGACCCACGGGTTGAGAAACACTGCTCTAATGCCAGTGTAGGAATGGACCTGCCAGCATGAGGAAAGCAAGCAGGCAAAGAGCAAATCCTGCTGGGCCTGTCACTCACCTGGCCAAGAGCCCACCCATCAGAAAGGCTGATCCACCTAAAGCCATGGGAAAGAGGCTGCAGGAGACAGTATTTCTCTGCTGAGATAGAGTGCTTTTCCTTCCCTGAAGATCCACTCTGCCATTATGGCCATGCCCTCTCTTTTATCCTCCTCTCTTCTCGGCCCTTTGTTCTCTCAAGGCCAAGCTGAATCTGCTGGCCATGTTTAGTCTATTGCTTTCTCTCCCCAGTGTGAACTCTTCCAGATGCTTCTGGCCATGCTGTTCCTCATATCTACAATAAAACCTTCCCCTCAAACCTACCTGGAAATGGTCTTGTCCTCACTTTATTCACTGACCACACAAACACTATGACTCAGGCATCATAATTAATTCACTTCCCATTTCTCTTGCCCAGTTATACTTAAGCATGACACAGTCCAAAAGAGTTACTAATATAAGAGAGGCCCCCAAGCATCTCCTCTACTGCAGAGAGAGACCCACAGTGACAAACTAACACTCATGAGCTTCAGCTCCTCTGTGATTCCTGTGTGAAGCTCCCCTTGCCCTTTCAGTTTGATTCACATTGCATTCAATGCATACCTAGTCATCCCTCCTGCAGAGTCTGATGACTCTGACTTCAGCAGGCACACAGAAGACTTGGCAGTCTCTACAGCACTGACCTCTGAACTGAGTCTCAGCGGCAGGAAGACAGAAGTTGAAACTAAACAGGAAGAATTTCTGTTTTCCATCCTCGGCTGTTCCCATAAGCCCACCTATAACTGGATCCCACTTGTCAGGTGACTTGTTAACTTCACCACTCAGGAAACACTTGAAGCTCTTTGTCTCTCAGAGAAATGAAACCACAAGATAGGAGGGCAATGGAGACATGGGATGAAGTGTAGGAAGAACCAGCCTGCCCCTGTCTTAGGCTTAAAAGCCATCTTGTAGTAAAGACAAAATAGATCCATTTCTGTTTATGATTAAACCATAAATCTCTGTTTTCATGGATTGGACACAGCCCAATTATACCCTTAACTATAAATGGTTCCATACTGCCTGTTCCAGGAATGGGAATCATGCCTTTGTTTCCAAATGTTCTTTATAACCATCTTGTAAGCCTATCTTTGTTATAAAAGGTTGCATGAGTGCTCACTTCGGCAGCACATATACTAAAATTGAAACGATAAAAGGTTACATGAATGCCCATTACCACCTTTTGACTCCCTTTTACCAGTGACTACCTCCTTATGCCCCCTTTACAGCTATGTCTTTCTTGCAGGAGCCTGTGTTGGACTCTTGTGTAATCTATGTTCTGCTCCTGTAACCCCACCTCTTTCACCTGTCATGTCCACCATTTGGAAACTCCCTGCCCTGAACTTTATAAAAATCTTGTCTCCCTCACCTCCCATGCTGACCTCTCAAACCTCACCTCAGGGGGAGGCAGCTCATGTACACAAATAACAAAGCTTGCTTTAATTAATTAACTTGGTCATGAAGATTTGGGGATGTCATCTTTTTCCCCCAGTCCTTGGGATTAACATGTACTATAAATAAAATAATTAAAACTGCTAAACACAAAGTAATTTCTATAGGCCAAAATATTTATTTATTTGAGAAAGAGTGTCACACTGTTTATCTGAAATAAAATGGATTGAAACAAAGGGGGAACTGAATGAACTATGAATAGAACACAGAGAAATGTTATTTTACTGGATGATATGATTGTAATTCAGGTTTATGATGTGAGTACACACCCATAGTGAACACTTATTTAATTTAGAATCACCCATAGTCTCCCAAGTCCCTGTAAGTATAATTCTCTGTGATAGTTGTTAACTCTGATCTCACCACAGATTAGGTGTTGATTTTGATAATTATATAAGATAAAGAAATGAGGCTATAGCTGTAGATAACATGTTACAGGCCTCTCACAACTACTTTAACACACTCTCTACACAAGCTGTGAGACTCCTGGACATTGTAAAGTATAGCTGTAGGGTTTGCTACAAATCCACCTCCTACGTATGTATTTCCTGCCACTGCTGATCCCTCTGTCAGTCAAGTAGGCATGTTGTCCGTCTCCGCGGATGGGAACCCTAAATAAAAAACAAACAAAATTTCTGCAGAGTCAACCACTGCACTCCCCCCAGCAATGATATCTCACTCGTGTCCACTGCTTGTTTATAGCACGAATCACAGAAAGGCAGAGTCCATGAGGAATCACCAGCACTAGTGTTATGGTGCGGGAGAATTATCTGTATTCTGTCAATCATATTTTAATAAAACGCTGATTGGCCAGGCAGGCAGTATAGGCGGGAAAGCCAGACAGGAAGTAGGGGTGGAGCAAAGAGACTGGGAGTATTCTGGAAGCAGAAGCTCTCTCTCAGCCATTCCTGCGCAGACCACCAAAGAGGCAACATGTAAGCTGTCACACTGAGAAAGGTACTGAGCCCATGTGGCTAACATAGATAAGGATAATGGGGTAATATATGTTATAAGAGTTAACAAGAAGCCTGACCTAATGGACCAATCAGTTTATAACCTTATGGAGTCCTGTGTGTGATTTTCTTTGTTGCTTGCCGGCTGTTGGGGTACTGGGCTGGACAGAAACCCCAACAAGCCAGCCCTTATGTTACAGTGTTACACTCAGTGACTTTTCCATTCTCAGGGTTCCATTTGGTGACCACACCTTTGTCACTCATCCATGTTGGACCCTGTACAGTGTGACAAAGCATTTGACTGGTGTTCTCTGCCATGTTCACATGAACTGCATTCACCTACGTGTAGCATCCCAAGGGTGGTTTTCAATTCTATCTTGAAGAATTTCTCACATGTATAAAACTGGGAGAAAATGCACTATCTAAACTGCTAAAGGCCTTTACTGATGGACATTCACCATTCCACAGAAATGGGTCTGTTCAAAATGGTGATTCTCACATCCAGGTGCCGTCCTGGGTGCTCTTTGATGATGAGACTTTAGAGAAGGTTCCCAATGCCCCTGGACTCTCTACGTCTGTGACAGGTGCAGCTGTGCACACAGCTGTCTGACAAGTCCTGTCCAGCAGTTCTGCAGAGGCTTCCTGGGGCCCTTAGTGGCCATCAGCAATTCTGTCTGCATCCCACAAGGGGAGTTAGCAGCAAGGAGAGATTTCCAAGTGCTGAGAGCAGACAGCATCTACCGCAGATGCCAATCATCAGGATAAGATTTGGAGTGAAACAACACTAGGTGGCTCTGACGGATATAAATTTGCTGGGAAGTAGAGTTTCTGGGGACTGGGGGACTGGCTGTTGCATGTAACACACAACCAGCGCCAAGACACACCTCCAGCCCAAGGGTTTCTCCCTTTCCAGTTCAGTTCTCTTCACGTGACTTAGCCTTTCACCTTTCACAACCACAACTCTCACAATCACAAAACATGAACACAGTAGGAGGAAAAGCATTCTGAAAACATACAAGTTGTTATATTCAGTGTTGTCTGTCCACATCCAAGGGTGCTCTGATGACTCTCTGTGCAGGCCGATCCAGGTGGCCGATTCCCCCATGTATCTATGCAGGAAATTCTGTCAAAAATACAGAAAGCAAATACATATGTCTCTCAGTTTCAGATGACCCTTGAATGTCTGCCCAACAACCTTCTCTTCAGATGGCATCAGGTTTGAACTGAGGGTCATCAAGTTTGGAGCCTAAATAACCATCAGTTCTCAGTGGATGCATTTTACAGCCATAACCCATAGCACACAGACAACCACCCTTCCTTCTGTGGCTGAGAAAGTCCCTTGTTAAGTCTGTATTTACAGTTATTAACAGTTGTCACCTTAAGTTTGCAACACCTGCCAGTTTGGACAAACACTTACATGAGCATCACAATTCTCAAATGTATATTTGGCCTTGCAGGTTGAATATTAGAACTATAGGTGAGAATATTTTTAGAATGTCTCAGGGCTAAAGTCAGATGTGTTACCATCACAAATGGCATATGCTAATATGTGCCCACTGCACCCCAAAACCTAGGGTGGGAACCCTCCTCATGTTCCAGCTTTAAGCTCTCTATCTCAAGGCAATACATATTCCACAGGAGCAAACAACAACAAACTCCCGATCCTTTCTTACCAGTTCCTCCAGACTGTCAAAATGAGTTAGATGGGCCCCCAGCTGCATGCAGGAGGTCTGACTGAATGTCCAGTTACTTGTGTGTTCAGAAAAATAAAAACATTTACTTCCAAATCCAATCCAGTCTCTTGGGCAGGCAGCATAGGCAGCTTCAGGGCTCACAATGGCCTTTTCTTCCTTTCTCCCTAGAATGTGCACAGTGCAAATACATATCATAGATAAACATTCCATGTCTTGTCTCTTTGGTTAACCATTTAATTTCCATTGTGAGGTATGTGTTTAGACTGTACCTATCATTACTGGTTACTAATATACTCCTTTTAGCATGGTGGTCTCCAGTCAAGAACCTTCATGTAAGGAAATGCTTCTCTTGTTTGTATTTTGATATTGGGGACAGAATCTCTCTATCTCTCCCTGCATGGCTTGGATCTCACTCTGTGGACTACACTTGTCTGGATTTTGTAGTAATCCTCCTGGTTGTGCCTCCTGAGTGCAGGGACTGAAGACACCATACCCTGAACAAAATCAGTCATTACCCCATGAGGCCTCTTCCTGATGGCTGGAATCCTACAGGTTCATTTCCTATGATCCTGTTTCACAACCTGCTTTCGTAATGACCAAATAAATAAAACAACTCTCTTCTCTGTATTTAACTATGGAGAAATATTGGCATGCAAAATGTGGCATGGTCAAATAATGTTTTGATACCAAAACTTTGATTGAGGCCTTCCTGTTATCATGTACACATATATTAAATCCACATGAATATATTCTGGCTCTCGTTAGAGGCTGTCAGAATGGCAATTATCAAGAAATCTCACAGCAGATGTCAGAACTCTGCAGATATAGGGGCACTAATTTATTGCTGGTGGGAGAATAAACTGAAACATCCAGTATGGAGGCTCCTTTAAAAAGTTACAAAGAGACCTTTTGTGACTCAGCTATGTCACTCCTGGGCATATATGAGAGAACACTACATCATAACACAGAGACCTGCACATCCATGTCTACTGCTGCCCCGTGTACAATAGCAGCAAAATGGACCTGACCTATATGTCCATCAACTGATGAACAGATGATGAAAATGTGGTCCATGTGTAACACAGAAAGTTATTCAGACAAAAAAATTGAAACCTGTAGAAGAGTGGGGGATGTACAAAGTATAATACTAAATAAGGTCACAGAAACTCAGCAAGAAAGAGACCCCATGCACTCCCTCATATGCTTGTCCCAGCCTGGGATGCACAGTGTGAACATCTGTGAGTGTGGGCACGGTGTAACACATAGACAGGAGAACAAGGAAAGGTGATGTAAGGTGACAAGGAAGGACAGGATGCAGCAATAACTCAAAGTGATAAAACCTTATAAAGAGCATTGCTTTTCTAGCTTCAATTTTGCTGGTGTTTTTTCTAAGTTTTGCCTGATAAACATGTAAAAATGAAAGTACCATGAAAATCATAACCAAAGCTCCCTAGCTTCAGAATGGCTTTTCTAACTGGGTTTAAGTTCAGTGAGATACATAGGGTTTGGGACTTGGTTACTATTAGTGGCTATGCTAATGTAAAAGAGTGTGATATGTTAAATTGAGAGCCTATCACAATAGAGTGGTTGTGTGTATGTGTATATGGGTGTGTATAAGAAGTTCTAAATGGCTGCCGGCAGCAAGGTAAGACTGTAGGCAGGGAAATTTCTGACCAGCAAGTGACACTGATCCTGTAGCAGAAGATACAATGGAGGGGTAAGTGTGTGTCTGACCTCCACACAAGCCCCGTAAGGGAACACACAATTTTCCTGCCATCCTTATCTCCCTGACTATTCCGAAGGGGTGGCTTCCCCCAGCTAAACCCTCTCTCCTCCTACCCCATCCGGGCTTTCAGCCAGGAACCCCTACCCTTCCTCTCTTCCTTTTCGGGGCCTAAAATCCTCCAACTCAGACTTGGTGGGTGCCACCTGGATGGGGCGGTGAGTGCAAACAGGAGGGAGTTCCTTTGTTTTAATAGCCTGCCTGCAGCAAGGTAGGACTGCAGGCAAAGTGATTCCTGGATAGCAAGGGGTAATAATCCTGTAGCAGAAGATCCAGCGGAGGGAAGAGCCATTGGAGAGCATCTGAAGGAAGAGATGGGCAGGCACCAAGGCAAGAATTCCTCCAACAATCTGAAAAACAACATGAAAACAACAGATCCCAGCGATCTTACGACAGAAGGACTTGAACTCCCTATTCCGGAAGAAGTGGAAAACAGTGTCATTATGAAAGCAATAGAGTCTCTTAAACAGGGCATGAATAACTCACTTAAAGAAATAGAAGAGAAATATAACAAAAAGATTGAAGAAATGAGTAAAGAAATGGAAGAGAAATATAACAAAAAGCTTGAAAAATTGAGTAAATTCATAAACGATATCCTGGGAAACCAAGAAAAAACAATCAAACAGGTAATGCAATCAGTTCAAGAATTGAAAACTGAAATGGAGGCAATGAAGAAAACACAAACCGAGGGCCGGCTGGATATGGAAAATCTAGATAAACAAACAGAGACTTCAGGAACAAGCATAACCAATAGAATACAAGAGATAGAAGAACGAATCTCAGATTATGAAGCCACCATAGACAAAATAAATGCTCTGACTAAAGAAAACAGAAAATCCAACAAATTCTCATCGCAAAACATTCAGGAAATATGGAACATAATAAAAAAACCAAATCTAAGAATAATGGGGTAGAAGAAGGAGAAGAATTGCAGATCAAAGGTCCAGAAAATATATTCAAAAAATTTTAGAATAGAACTTTCCCAACCTAAAGAACAATATTCCTATGAAGGTTCAAGAAGCATACAGAACACCGAATAGACTGGATCAAAAAAAAATCCCCTCGCCATATAATAATCAAAACACAAAGCATTCAGATTAAAGAAAGGATATTAAGAGCTGCAAAGGAAAAAGATCAAGTAACTTATAAAGATAAACCTATCAGACTTACGCCAGACTTCTCTATGGAAACCATGAAAGCCAGAAGGTCCTGGATAGAGGTACTGCAGAAACTAAGAGACCATGGATGCAAGCCCAGACTACTATACCCAGTCAAGCTATTGTTCACTATCAACGAAGAAAACAAAATATTCCAGGATAAAAACAAATTTAAACAATACGTAGCTACAAATCCAGCCTTACAGAGAATATTAGAAGGAAAATCACAACCCAAGGAATCCAACATTCCCAACACTGCCTACAATAACTCAGACATCTAGCAACCCTTCACAAGCACAACTCAAAGAAGGAAAACACATACACTCTACTACCCGAAAAAATGACCGGAGTCAACAACCACTGGTCATTAATATCACTTAATATCAATGGACTCAATTCACCTATAAAGAGGCACAGACTTAGAGATTGGATACAAAAACAGGATCCAACATTCTACTGTTTACAAGAAACACACCTCAACCACAAAGACAGACACCTACTCAGAGTAAAGGGTTGGGAAAAGGTTTTCCAAGCAAAGGAACCTAAGAAACAAGTGGGTGTGGCCATTCTAATATCTAACAAAATCGACTTCAAACTAAAATCTATCAGAAGAGATGGAGATGGACATTTCATACTCATAACAGGAACAATTCATCAGGAAGAAGTCTCAATCCTGAATATCTATGTCCCTAACATAAAGGCACCCACATATGTAAAAGAAACACTTCTAGAACTCAAAGCAGTCATCAAACCACACACACTAATAGTAGGAGACTTCAACACACCTCTCTCACCAATGGACAGGTCAATCAGACAGAAACCTAACAGAGAAATAGGAGAATTATTGGAGGTATTGAATCAAATGGACTTAACAGACATCTATAGAACACTACACCCAAATAGGAAAGAATATACCTTCTTCTCTGCAGCTCATGGAACCTTCTCGAAAATTGACCACATACTCGGTAACAAAGCAAACTTCCACAGATACAAAAAAATAATAGTAACCACCTGTGTCTTGTCAGATCACCATGGATTAAAGTTAGAATTCAACAACAATGCTACCCCCAGGAAGCCAACAAACTCATGGAAGCTGAACAGTCAACTACTAAATCACCCCTGGGTCAAGGAAGAAATAAAGAAAGAAATTAAAGTCTTACTTGAATTTAATGAAAACAAAGACACAACATACTCAAACCTATGGGACACTATGAAAGCAGTACTAAGAGGAAAGTTCATAGCACTAAGTGCCCAATTAAAGAAAATGGAGAAAGCACACATTGGAGACTTAACAGCACACTTGAAAGCTCTAGAAAAAAAATAAGCTGATTCACCCAGGAGGAGTAGAAGACTGGAAATAATCAAACTGAGGGCTGAAATCAACAAAATAGAAACACAGAAAACAATCCAAAGAATCAATGAAACAAAAAGCTGGTTCTTGGAGAAAATCAACAAGATCGACAAACCCCTATCCAAACTAATCAAACGGCAGAGAGAGAACACGCAAATTAATAAGATCAGAAATGAAAAGGGGGACATAACCACAGACACAGAGGAAATTCAGAGAATCATTAGATCTTACTACAAAAGCCTGTATGCCACAAAGTTGGAAAATGTAAAAGAAATGGACATTTTTTTAGATAAGTACCATATACCAAAGTTGAACCAAGAACAGGTGAACAATCTAAATAGACCTGTTAGTCGTGAAGAATTAGAAGCTGTTATCAAAAATCTCCCTACCAAAAAAAGCCCAGGACCAGATGGTTTCAATGCAGAATTCAACCAGAACTTCCAGGAAGAGCTAATACCTACACTCCTTAATGTATTCCACAATATAGAAACAGAAGAGTCATTGCCAAACTCCTTTTATGAAGTTACAGTTATCCTGATACTAAAACTACACAAAGACATAACCAAGAAAGAGGATTGCAGGCCAATCTCACTCATGAACATCGACGCAAAAATTCTCAATAAAATACTGGCAAACCGAATCCAAGAACACATTAGAAAAATTATCCATTATGATCAAGTAGGCTTCATCCCAGAGATGCAGGGCTGGTTCAACATACGCAAATCTATCAATGTAATTCATCATATAAATAAACTGAAAGAAAAAAACCATATGATCATTTCATTGGATGCTGAAAAAGCATTTGACAAAATTCAAAACCCATTTATGATAAAGGTGTTGGAGAGACTTGGGATACAAGGATCATACCTAAAT